TTGCAGAAAGAATGCACTTGTATTTGAAAGCATTTGCTTTTTCTTCCATGTTTTCTCCTCTGTTAGTTTTTTAGTCATACAAGACTTTCAGGGCTGGATTCAGTTAGAAAAAATTATTCACTTAAAGTCTTAAATAGCACTCCTTCAAAATACTTATAAAAAGAGAGTGTGCTTTATATTTATTATTTTTTACACTAATTATTTCACAAAAACATTAGAAATATGGACATTTAAATAACTGCAGTGCAACTGCTTACACAAACTTAGAGTCAGCCTTTGTTCCATCTTAGTTGAGTAGCTCACTGTGTGGCTTTAGGCAAGCTTGCATCCTGTTTTGAAGCCCTAAGTTCTCATCTATAAAATGAGAATTATAGTAGTACCTACTTCATTGACTGTTGAAGGAGTACATGAACTAAGGCACAATTTACATAAAGAGCTTAGCGTAGTGCTTAGTACAAATACCTAACAAAGATTAATAATAATAGTTAGCTTATTATTACCCAGATAATATATTTATCTGTGTGTGTTTGTATAACCATTTTATTACTGTGATGAGAAATGGGAATCAACTATACACCTTCAAGAGTACACACAGGATACTAATTATTTTGGCTATTTTTACTAAATGTTCATTGCAGGATGCTCTTTTTAAAAATTCTGAAAACAGATTTCCTTCTTGGAAATCATACTTTTTAAGAAATGTCTGAACTGTACTCATATCAAAAGCAGAAGTAAGGGAAGCCTTATTATGTTTTAATGGAAACCACATGTTGTTGTTGTTAAGTGTCTTCCAGTTGGCTCCAACTCATGGCGACCCTGTATAGGGTTTCCGAGGCTGTAAATCTTTGTGGGACAGAAAGTCTCAACTTTCTCTTGAGAAGTGGGTGGTGGGCTTGAACCACTATGACCTTGTGATTCTAAGTCCAGAATACACTCCTGGAAACCACATGGTATAGCTTTAATTCAATTACTCTAGAATGTGGGGACAAATATTAAGTATTACAACAACTGATTGCTTTCCTGTAGTTATGATAGTGTATGTCTTTATTATTATAATTTTCATGAAGTCTAAGGAGAGATCCCAAAAGCCTATCTCCTTAGTCATCTTAGTCATTTTCCACCCCCACTATTTCTGCAGGCTGAGAATGTTTTGTAGACTGAGTTATTAAAGTTGATCTGAAAGAGCAATCTGTTCTAAATGACTGTCCCTGGATCTGCATCAGAACCCTGTAAATACCCCTCATTACACTGGCGGGGCAGTATCACATTTCCTTCATGTTACTTTCATAGCAGACACAAGTTAAGCAGTAAGATTTGGACTTTGGATGATCCTGGTTGATTGATATGGGAGGAATGGTCCTTTTTCTCAAACAGGTAACTGGAAATTTACTCTTCAGTATAAGTTTTTAAACAGGTGTTCTGTGTATCGTTACATATGTGATGGTGGTGGTTGTGTGCTGTGAAGTTGGTTCCGACTCATAACAACCCTGTTTCTAAGGCTGTAAATCTTTCTTTACAGGAGCAGAAAGCTTCCTTTTTTGTCCTGTGGAATGACTGGTAGATTTGAACTACTGACCTTGCAGTTAGTAGCCCAGCTTGTATACCAGGGCTCCATTGTTGTATATGTATATATAAATAGATTTGTTTTTTTAAAAAACTAAAACGTTTTGAACTTGTAAATAGTTTCTAAAATGTCTTCAGTTTTCTCAGACAATCATTTTTACAATAGTTTAGATTAAAAAGAAATTTCATAAGGATTTAGTTGTATATCCCAATTATATTCTATTAAGGAGTTTGTATAAGACCTTTTATAATCCACCATCTATCTATTGTTTTGGATGATCAAAAATCTGTCTTTGGTGTAGGAATTTTTCTTATTAAAAAAAGTTAGAGAACATGTACAACTTTGTTCTTTAAAAACAAGACTGTGTGTGTGCGTGTGTGTGTGCGTGTGTTATCTGATACTGAAAGAGAGTGCCCCAATATAAATCTACTAACTTCAAGCAAAACCTGTTGACTTTTTGATAATTTGTGAGCAATGTCTTTTAGAGAATTAAAAATCCAGTAATATAGAAAACTTAGCAAATGCAAAAAAAAAGAAAAAATGAATATGAATCTACTCACACAGAAACTCTTACTTGCTTACCCTCCAAGTGAAGACTTCCTGTGTCGTAGATCTTCCAGACTCCTTGGCATTCCTGTGGATGATCCCAATGTGAGTAAATTATTTCTGTAGCTCAGTGACTGAATTTAAAAAGCAGCTGAAGAGAGGCACAGGATCATGTTGAAACCACAATAAACACATGTGTTGGATGGGTCACTCAACTTTATGGGGAAACCTTAAGACATGTATGTACCCTTGTGTTTGTATGTAACTTATGAAGTTTGCTTTTTAACTGTTTTGGTCATTAAAAACAATTTTAGAGCGTATCTTTTGTTATCAATAAACTTGGTAAAATCTGAATGCAAGGAGGCTTGTGGTGTAATATTTATATAATTGCTACTGATGAGAAGCAATGTTGAGATTGAGTTCATTTGGGAGCAGAAACTAAAATTTGAAATGAAAAATTATATTTTAAATTTATGAGTCTGATATATTGTAAGTAGGGCATCTACAATCGCTGACTATTATTAATTGAAGATATGTATATCCCGCTTTTTGTCAAAGAGCTAAAAAAATCTGTACACTGTTTGTATTGAAAAGAATGCAGTTAAAATGAGACAAGAAAGATTACTGCCATTTTGGATTCTTTTGTCTATAGCCTTTCTTCAGCATTTAAAACATTTTCTATATCTATGTATTGATTCCTAATTCCATTGCCCAACCAACTCTATTCTATCTTTCAGCATGGATCTTTTCTCACATGAGCATTCTATACTTGAGTGAAGGGTAGGATACCAACTTATCATGGCACCAAAAAGTGAAAATGTATTCACTTACATTGTATGTAAGCATTTTCCATTGGAAGATCAATTTGTAGCAGACCTATTAGCTATCTGAGATAGAGGTTCAACTTGCCCATGTCTCCAGTCAAGACTTGTATTGTTTATGCCTTAAAATATAAATAAGCTATTTAAATAAAAAAGGATTGTTGGAGCATCCACATAAGTTAAAATGCAGAAAAACAATTAAGCAGTCTGGTGTTGGTATCAGCATAGAATTAGGTGAGAGCAAATGAAGTACATTGAAGGTCTGGATTATTGTAATAATGAAAATAACCTACCCAGATAATTTAGTTTCTCCTGTATTTACTTTCTTTCTTAACAAGAATTATTTTGATCTGGATTGTTTAAGTTTTCCTCAACTCACTTTTCTACTTTATGCAAACATTAATTCCAGTAACAAAAGGTGTAGTAAAACTCTGATGGTATCATAGTAAACAAAGAAATTTTATATCTATCTAATGTACTGTGGTTATTTATTCTCAAGGTGACTGAAAAGGATTAGAAGATCTTTCCGTGAAGCTCATTGAGTCAGGAATTGTTTGTGTATTTTGTGCACTACTTTATACCCAGTGCCTGTCATTATAGTTGTTGTTGTTAAGTCCATTGAGTCATTCTGACTCATAGTGATCCTGTATAGGGTTTCTGAGGATCAACTGGTGGGTTTGAACTGCTGATCCTACCGTGCCACACCAAAAGTCTGTTATAGCAGTCATTCAAGAAGTATTTGTTGAAGGAATGAGTGAATGACTGCAAAGAAACCCTATAAGCAATTGAGTGATTTAATTAAGAAAGATAGATTCAGAGCAATATATTCAAATTATCAGACTAGAAGATTATTTTTAAAATAATCAGTGGAATTTAAGTCAGAATTTTCAAAGCCTAGGTTTCTTTTAGGACTGATGTTAGAGCATCAGCTAATCTGTATTCAGCAATGAAGCAAACTTTTCCCCAAATTCACATTTCTGAGAATGTAGGAAATGGATATCTAAGGGCCTATACAGTTCGAAACTACCAGCTGTTCCCCCCGAGAAAGATGAGGCTTTCTGCTCCCGTAAAGATTTATAGCCTTGGGAACCCTGTGCAGGGTCACTATGAGTCTGAACCAACTCCACAGTACTTAACAACAACAACAATATTTTACAAGGAGTCCTGATGTGGCACTGTGGGTTAATGCGCTGGACTGCAAAGTCAGTTTGATACATAAGGTTGGTGGTTCAAGCTCACCAGCCACTCCTCAGAAACCCTATGCAGGGTAACTGTGAGTCAGAATCAACTCGATGGTACTTAACAACAACAAAATACAAAGTAGGCATTTGATCAGACGTTGGTTTGGTTAATGATTCTTTCTTGCTAGTTGGTAGTGTTTATGAAAGAAGACATCTGGCAGAGACATTTTCAAAATAATATTAAAAAATGTGTTCCCAGGTAGCAGCACATGAATAAGAATTGTAATATGTTATAAAGCCATTTAGACTTTTAAGCAATATCTGACTTTTTTTTCTCTGAAAATGTTTGTTCTAACTAATTGTCCCTGGTCTATTTCAGGCTGATGTTTCTCCTCTTCGATTAGCAACCTTAAAAGTTAGCCTTTGGACAGTTGGAAAAGGAAAATAAAACAACAACTCTCAGTTAGGCCTCTGCTTCGCGTTGGTTTTTCAGAACCTAATGTCCTAAAATAAGTCAGTAATTGAATAAGAGTAAATTTTCCATTAATTAAAATCAAGGCTTTTAACTTTTTTTTTTCTTCAAAATCAGGAATTTTGGCACATTTTGCAAATAATGTCATTTTCTTTGACTGACAGAACATATTGTGATATATTCAATATTAACTCGAAACCTAAATCAATAAACAGTCAGAGTCTCTGTCTATAAGTAATATTGTATAGGTGGAAAAATTGATTTACCACCCCCCATAGGTGCTGTCCTGCCATGGAATCCCTTTGCTCAGTTTTCTCCTGTCCAATCAGGTGGAATGTTTAACAGGCACATGGTTTATACAGCTCAAAATAACTTGGGACCTGTGAGCTGACAAATGCTCTGACTTCACTGGTGACAGGTTGTCCAGCTTCTTACAGCCATCTTCAGTGAAAATAAGGTTAACTCCGCACTCTCTATGGACGGCTACTTTCTGTTTCCAAGGGCGTGAAGAATTTTCTTTTTCTCCTGTTCTTCCATCTAAAAGTTCTCTTTGGATAGTAACCATCGCAGTGGAGTGCCTGGGTTGGACATCCTCATCTGGGTCAACTAAAAAAAGAAAGGTAATATCCAGATTTAAATTCACAAATGTGTTTTGATAACAGAGCACTGACAATGGGATAAGGGATATTTCAGAGAGCTAATTCCTGTTGCTTAGAGCAAAACCTAGAGTAACTTTCTATAATATATAATGGTATACAAAATTCTGTGAAAAATAAAGCTTTCTACATGTAAAAACCTTGAAGGGGCTTCATGATACTCACAGACATGGCAACATAGTTGGGTCCTCAGGAAAAATATCTCAACAGAGGAAATGGTGACATGTTACATGCATCAGTGGCATTTTCCACACATTCATTTAGTAAAATAATGATGTTTCCCTAGAGAGTATGTGTGGAATGTCTATTTCCTTCTTAAAGGAAATCAAATATAAAATAATATGACTCCATAGTTAAAGACTTTCATTTAAATTTTTTTTATCATGTAAAAGGATATGCTTGCTATATTTAGTGTTGGGAGATCTGCTCCCTGGATTAATGTACACAACAGCTGCAGAAAGTCTTGCTCAAAGGACATTGCTGTTTCTTTCTCCTTTCTCTCTCTCTCCCTTCTCAGCTACATCAGAAAGGCACTTGATAGTCAGTGGCAAGTGTTTGGCCTAGTACATGCACTATTAGCAGTGAGTAATTAGATGCACATCTTGACTTATATTTTAAATACCCTATGAGCAAAGAAAAAGGGAAGATGGATTATTCTGTATTTCTGTTCCCAAACGTGAACACTGAAGTAATAGTGTTAAGAAATTTTCTTATCTTATCTGCCGACACTTACTCATACGTGTTAAAGTTACTAACACCATTCAGCTGGCAAGAAACAAAACAGCTATTCACTTTTCTTTCTCAAAATACTATGATTTAATTACTTTTACTTTTTTAAGACTAGAATAACAGATTTTACATGTCTTAAATTAAAGATCTGACGTAACTTTATAGTCTCCCCTTAATAGTAATTCTTCAGTTCAGATGAAACCCACAGTCCTTTTTTTAAGGAAATTAAAAAGGTCTGTGGCACTGTAGGATAAGCACTGGACTGCTAACCAAAAGGTCGGTGGTTCAAACCCACTAACCACCCCTAGGAAACCTTTACAGGGTCACTATGAGTTAGAACTGACTCGGCGGCACTTCGCAACAACTCAACATAATTGTAGATAAATAAGTCTTTTTTAAAATATAGAAATTAAGATATGCTGTCTGATACATGATTTGACAATGAGCAAGGTAGTGTCAGAAAATCTAAGATATGAAGACACTAAAAGAGGTGTCAAGGAACAAAATTATAGACATTACAGAATCTTATAATAATGGACTATGAAACACAGTTGGACACTGCCCAAATTCTAGACGTTTGTCTCTGTCACTACTTATAGAGTGTGGCTAATGCCATAACCATGGTTAACTCATAATACTGTCTTAAAACTTCAGTCTTTCATATATTTATAATTTAGAACGCAAACTTTATTGCATGTGTCTATTACAGTGTGCCTACAAAGGCACATATTCAGTGGAACAGGGCTCAAATTCCTAATTCAGGGATACAAGAAATTGAATGAATTATTATCCAGTCTAGAATTTAGAACTCACAAAGACGGTTTTTGCAAATTTACTTTTGAAGAAATGAAGCAGCAGGTAAATCAAGTTTCATTTAGTAGGGGCCTTAATGAATTAAGGTTAGCATATAAAAAGTGGCTACTAAATTTTTCAACAGTTAGATCCTATATGTAATAGGAATAATGGACTCAGCTCACTAACCTGCAAATATAAGATAAATGGTACCACTAACCCCAGCAATTTCACATTGCAATTTGACAAAAGCTTTGCTAATTTCATGGTGTTATTGCCTATTAAGAAGATAGAAGGATGAAAGGGTTTTCTTTCTGGTTTGTTCCCCTCTACTAAAAGACGAAGTCCTGTGCAGTGTTATAGGATAAGCACTGGACTGTCAACCACAAGGTTGGCAGTTCAAATCCACCAGCCGCTCCTTAGAAACCCAATACAGGGTCAGTATGGGTCGGAACGGACTCAACGGCTCTTGACAACAGTAGATAAAGAAGACTCAAGTACCACAGAAATATTTTCTTAAATTCCCTATGATGTCCACAGTTGACACAGTACTTTCAAACCTAGTTGTTGTTAAGTGCCGCCATGTCCGTTCCGACCCATAGCGACCCTGTATAGGGTTTCCGAGGAGTGGCTGGTGAGCTTGAACCACAGGCTTTGCAATTCGATCGAACTTTGCAGTCCAGCGCATTAAACCACAGCGCCACACCAAGATTTCAAAACTAGAGCCCTGTGTAATTCAAGTGTAGACAACATGGAACTTGAAAGCTTTTAGAAATTTAAGTCGTTCTTTCCAGCAGACATAATTTAGTGGGCAAGAGAATTGATGTGAATTCAGTTCCTAAAGAGTTCTTAAAGTGCCTGGACACATAGAGTTACCTTGCTAGACTCGCCACAGACTTAGTGGTGCAAAGACCTTTATCTAGAGTCAGAATCCACTCACTTCATGCCCTGGGAGGGGAACATCCTAGCCTTCGGACCAACTGCTTAGAACTTAGACTAGCTTAAGACTAGCACTTAGAACTGCTTAGACTAGCACTAGAACTTGAGATTCAGAGCCTATTTGGCAACAATATAAGTCAATTTATTAGGGATGTTATCTTTTGTAAATTTTCCCTCCTCCAAGTTCTTAATCACCTAAAAAAAATGGTGGTGGTGGTTGTGTGCCATGGAGTCGGTTCCAACTCATAGCGACCCTGTACATCCAGGTTTCCGAGGCTATAAATCTTTAAGGGAGCAGAAAGCCTCATCTTTCTCCCGTGGAACCACTGGTAGTTTCGAACTGCTGACCTTGAGGTTCGCAGCCCGATTCGTCACCATTACGCTACCGGAGCACCTTAAATAAAAAAAAAAAAAGTGAGAAAACGTTAAAAGATTGAAGGAGGATGGAAAATGTTAATTTTATTCCGTATCTTTCTTATTTAAAATTCATCTTTGAGCTAATGGCGATTATTAGCAAATGTTTCTCATTTGGGATTTTTCTATAGAATAAGGATAGTCCTAGTGTGGCACTGTGGGTTAATGCACTGGACCGCAAGGTTCACTGTTCAAACCCACCAGCCGCTCTTTGGAAACCTTATACAGGGTCACTACGAGTCTGAACCAACTCAACGGTATTTAACAACATAAAATAACTAGGTTCCTTATGCATGATGACGTCTTGAGAATGAAATCAAACTTTCCATGCCTAGCATTTTTGTAACTCCCACCAAACCCTTTTTAGACCTAGTTTTCTGTAGGCTTCTTGAGTGACTTTCATTAGCCATTCTACATACACTATACATATTTTTACACGATTCTTTTGCTGTCGTCGTTTAGATTAAGTACTAAATGTAAGCTCAGGCTTCATTATTCGATACACTTATTTTTATGTTTTGTTAAGTGTTGTCAAGTTGGTTTCAACTTATAGCAACCCTGTTCCAAGGCTTTAAATCTTTATAGAAGCAGAATGCCTCATCTTTCTCCTGTGGAGCGGCTGATGGGCTCAAAATGCTGAACATGTAATTTACTTATCCTATTGAGCCAGCCTTTACACTAGTGCTTCACTATCTGATTATCCTCTTATATGTATGAAAACATACACTTCATAGTTTTCTCTTGCTCACATGAAATCTGTACTCTCTTCCCTATCTTCCTACTTTTACTAAATGCAATTAAAGCAATAATGAGAGAATGGCCTACTCATCTTTGGCCTATCATCTAAAAATCTTATTCTTTTAATCTTTGAGCTTTAAGGAATTTCCCTCCTTAAACAGATTCCCACTAACCTCTGCTCTGCTTCTTTATTCCAACATTCTAGTCTATCTTATACGTATTTGTATTTATTTATTTTTTTGTCTGCCATTTTTCCTCTTTGAAACAGAAGAATCTTTGAGAGAATGGACCTAATCATATTATTTGCATATTATTGTGCTATATTACCACATACCCTCGTAATGCAGAATATGGTGGCTCCGTACAATATTTGCTGGACTGTGCACCATAAGGTCAGCAGTTCGAGCCCATTGTCCATTCTAAGGAAGAAAGAAGAGGCTTTCTGTGCCCATAAAAATGTACAGCCTTGGAAGCCCTATACAGCAGGAGTAGGGAACATCTGGCCCACAGGCCGTATAAGGGCCATGAAATCTTTTGGTCTAACTCTGCCATGGCAACTGCAGTTCTAGTCATCATGTTAAGAGTGAGTTAATTAAATGTTTGACCAAATACAGCAAGTTAATTTTTAAGTTGATAATTTTTTTATAGCCCACGAATGATGTTATAAATATCCAAATGGCCATTGGCAGAAAAAAGGTTCCCCACGCCTGCTTATACAGGGTGGCTACAGATTGGAACCGACTCGACAGCACAACAACCCTAATAATCCAATATATGCTCATGTATTAAATTACTAATGCCATTCACACTAAAAGTAAACTAGAAATAAAACTGAGATGGAGATGATCATTGTAAATAGTGAAGAGATGAAAACTGTCACAGTGCCGATGGATTTACCTCAAAGTGTATCCCATCTGTAGCCAGATTGAAAAAGGTGATCTGCAACCAACTCTTTAGGACTGATTCCTCTCGACTAGGAATTTGGTTCTTGGCCTATGAATAGTTTCTCCAAGAATGATTCTGATTTTTAAATTGGCAACATCCTGGAATATAAGAAGCAAGGCAAACAGTAAACTATTCGCACTAAGTAGAGGGAGCTAATCATATTGTGTCAATTATTCCTCCTAGAGAACATTCTAGGCATAATAAATGCACATCAGCCTAATGAGATTACCTTAAATTTATATGTTGATTTTGTTTTGTGCTATGGAGTAGATTCTAATTCATAGCAACCCTCTATAGGGGTTCTGAGAAGTGGCTGTTGGATTTGAACCACTGATCTTGCAGTTCAAACCAAACTTGCAGTCCAGTGCTTCTCCTACAGTGTCACACCAGGACTCTAAATT